ATTGTATGGCAAATGCTCACCGGTGGGTTAATCAGATTGGACATATTCAAGTAAATGGGGTGGAATTTTTGTTCTCGGAGGAGGTCAAGGCAAGTATTGTGGTATCTATGAGCATTTGTTTCGATTCGTAGAGTAGGGGTGGCGATCGGGTTTGGATGGGGTAAGTTTTTATGTTATTTTTGAAGAAGATTGTACTTTACTAGAAAGGCCATTTACAGAAGAGGAGGTGTTTAAGGCTTTGCAAAGTATGCTTGGGGATAAGGCGCCTGGTCCTGATGGGTTCACTATTTCCTTTTTTCAACAGTGTTGGGGGGTGGTAAAGTCGAAGGTGCTAGCTATGTTTGAGTAGTTCCATCAGTCAGGCGAATTTGAGAAAAGCCTTAATGCTACATTTATTGCCTTGATTCCGAAGAAGGAGGGGGAAGAGGGGGGGCAGGATATTAGAGATTTTCCGCCTATTAGTCTTCTGGGGAGTGTGTATAAGGTGTTGGATAAAGTTTTGGCAAATCGTTTGCGCGGTGTGTTGGTAGGGGTGGTATCGGAATCCCAGAATGCTTTTGTGAGGGGTAAGCAAATCTTGGATGCGGTGCTTGTGGCGAATGAATGTGTGGACTCGCGGTTGTGTCAAGGGAATGAGGGGATTATTTGTAACTTAGATATTGAGAAGGCCTATGATAATGTGAATTGGGAGTTTTTGAAGTATTTGTTGGAAAGGATGCAATTTGGGGAGAAATGGCAGCGTTGGATTCAGTTTTACATTTCTACTGTGCGAATGTTGGTCTTGGTTAATGGTTCCCCAGCAGGGTTTTTCCCGACTCATCGCGGGCTACGGCATGGTGATCCTCTATCTCCTTTGCTGTTTATTCTGGTTATGGAGGCTTTGGGGCGTTTGTTGGCTAGGGCGGTGCAAGCAGGTTTGTTGAATGGATTTGAGGTAGGAGTGGCTCCAGGGGATGTGATGGTGTCTCATATGTTTTATGCAGATGACGCGCTTGTTTTCTGTGATGTGGAGGAGGCCCAGATTGGGCATTTGAGATATGTGTTGTTGTGTTTTGAGGCAATGTCCGGGCTTCGGGTGAATTTCGCAAAATCATAATTGATTCCAGTAGGGGAGGTGGCGAGGTCTTCGGTTCTGGCAGCCATTTTGGGGTGCAAAATGGTCTCTTTACCCGTGACATATTTGGGGTTGCCTGTGGGGGTGTCCTTTAAAGCGACAGGGATATGGGAAGGGGTGGTGGATCGGGTGCGACGACGGTTGGCAGGGTGGCAACAACAATATTTGTCTAAGGGAGGACAACTTATGTTGATTAGAAGTGTTTTTGTCGAGTATTCTGACTTATTTTATGTTTGTTCATGTGATCCTGGTCTCTGTAGCGAGGCAGATTGAGTAGCTGCAGAGGGACTTTTTGTGGGGTGATGGGGGTGAGGGTGGTCATTATCACTTGGTGTCTTGGGATCGGATTTGTATGTCTAAGGAGCAAGGGGGCTTGGGGGTTCGGAGGTTGGTCCTGTTTAATTTGGCCTTATTAGGGAAGTGGCTGTGGCGTTTTGTGGAGGAGAGGGAGCATCTTTGGAGGCGGGTGGTGGTTGCTAAGTTTGGTGTGGGTACGGGGGAGTGGTGCTCGGGACGGGTGGGTCATTCTCATGGCTGTGGGTTATGGAAAGGAATTTGGCTGGGTCGGGAGGCGTTCTGGCAGCGAGTGAGGTTGAAAATTGGTGTGGGGGATGGAGTTCGGCTTTAGCGCTTTTTGTGGGGTGATGGGGTGAGGGTGGTCATTATCACTTGGTGTCTTGGGATTGGATTTGTATGTCTAAGGAGCAAGGGGGCTTGGGGGTTCGGAGGTTGGTCCTGTTTAATTTGGCCTTATTAGGGAAGTGGCTATGGCGTTTTGTGGAGGAGAGGGAGCATCTTTGGAGGCGGGTGGTGGTTGCTAAGTTTGGTGTGGGTACGGGGGAGTGGTGCTCGGGACGGGTGGGTCATTCTCATGGCTGTGGGTTATGGAAAGGAATTTGGCTGGGTCGGGAGGCGTTCTGGCAGCGAGTGAGGTTGAAAATTGGTGTGGGGGATGGAGTTCGGCTTTAGCGGGATAGGTGGTGTAGAGACTTGTCTTTAGAGTTTCGATTTCCTTGATCTTTGCTATTGCTGCTAATTCTGAGGTGTTAGTGGGTGCTGTGACGGTTGGGGAGGGGCAGTTGAGGGTGTGGAACGTGCAGTTGCGTCGTGATGTCCAAGATTGGGAGCTAGATCAATTAGTGGACCTCCTTGGCTTTTTCTATGGGTTACATCTTGGACAGGCGGATAACGATGCCTTGGTTTGGGATTGTCCTAGGGCCAAAGGTATTTTCACGGTGTCCTCGTTCTATGGGGCGCTTGTTCAGGATAAATATGTTTTGATGGCACCTTGGTTTATTCGTGGAAAAGTGTTTGGGTGCTGGGCACGCCATCCAAGGTTGCCTTCTTTGTGTGGACGCCGAGTTTGGGTCGTATCCTGACTATTGATAATTTGATTCGTCGTGGGCATATTTTGGTGAATTGGTGCTGCTTGTGCGGTCGGGCAGCGGAATCGGTTGATCATTTGCTTATTCATTGTTCCGTCTCTTCTCGTCTTTGGATGCTTGTGGTGGCAATTTTTGGGATGGTTTGGGTTCAACCGGGTTCCTTGTTCGCGGTTTTGCAAAGTTGGGTAGGGGGGAGGGTGGGGAAAAGGTGTCGAAAGGCTTGGATTCTTGCCTTGCACTGTTTACCGTGGTTGATTTGGCTGGAGCGTAATAGGCGGGTGTTTCAGGGGGTGGCTCATTCCATCTCTTGGTTAGAGAGGCGACTTCTTACTGTTTTGTATAGTTGGGTGACAGGATTAGTAGATCCAGATGTGTTGGCTTTTACAGATTTTGTGGAGAATTTGATTTGTTAGTTTCGTTGGGCTCTTGTGGCCGTTTTTGTATTCTTTGCCCCTTCTTGATGCTTTATCTATAGAGTTCGGTTATTTATAAAAAAAAAAAAATTATTGAACAAAAAAAATAATAAAAAATGCCAGGTGTACAAATTTAATTTTAGCTGGGCCAGCAGCGTGGGATGGTCCTAAATCTAATTTTTTTCTAATCTCTATATTCAGTTATCTGCATATGATATCAGTTTCTTTTTATATAATATATATTATGTACTATGTATTTGTGGTTGAAAGATTCCCATTTCCGAACGAAATAATTCAAACTCAACTAGTTAAAAAACTCTCTCTCTAAAAACCTCCTCCCCAGGCCTCCTTTGGGCCGGCCGGCCGCCGCCTTTTGGCTATGGCGGTCGGCTGGCCTTAGCTTTTTCCTTCGTTTGTTTGCTAGGTTTTTCCTTTAATAAACTTGTTTCCCCCATGATCTTCCCACCTAGGTGTGTTTTGTAATAGCTGGAGGTGTGTTTTAATGTCCAGGATCTTCACTCGGGCACTCTTGTGCGAGTTGGAGCTTGAGGGGTGTTCACTAGTTCAGATTTTTTGAGTAGTATCGGTGCTCTGTTTGGGCGTTTCAAGATCTGTCTGGTTTTCATTCGTGCGTTCCGTCCGGGTGAGAGTTTGAGGGGTGAACTTCTTCCATATGTATGGTGATATCACTGCGGTTGGTAGGTGTTTTGGTCGGGTTTTGGATCTGCAGTGGGTGTCAGAAAGTAGAAGAACTTGGGTGTGCGAAAGAAGAAGATCATTGTAGCAGGGGAGAGGCAGTGGGTGTGAGAAAGAAGAACTTGGATCTTGGTTCTGCAGTGGGTCTTGGAGTTGCAGCGGGTGTGTGAAAGATGAAGAACTTGGGGGTGTGAAAGAAGAAGAGGAGTAGGTGGAGGGTGTGAACTTGGGTCTTGGTGAGAAAGAAGAACTTTGGTCTTGGTTTTGCGGTGGGTCTTGGAGTTGCAGCGGGTGTAAGTAAGAAGAAGATCTTGGGGTTGTGAAAGAAGAAGAAGAGGCGTAGGTGGAGGGTGTGAACTTGGGTCTTGTGGGGTTGTAATCAGGTGCAGGCGTGAGGCATGGAGAGTTTGTAGCAGCAGTGACGTGGTCTTGGCAGAGGCGTGGATGCTTTCGGGCTACTTGGGTGTCTTTAGTTTAGTTCTTGTATTTTAGTTTGTTTTGCAACTGTGCCGTGGGTCTTGTTTAGTTTTTTAGTTTGTTTTGAGTGTCTTTGTGGGTTATTATGTGGGGATTCATGTTTTTTAATTATCTAGTTAAGTTCTTCTTAGCTTTTTTATTAAAAATTTGAGAGTAATAGGCGGGTGTTTCAGGGGGTGGCTCATTCCATCTCTTGGTTAGAGAGGCGGCTTCTTACTGTTTTGTATAGTTGGGTGACAGGATTAGTAGATCCAGATGTGTTGGCTTTTACAGATTTTGTGGAGAATTTGATTTGTTAGTTTCGTTGGGCTCTTGTGGCTGTTTTTGTATTATTTGCCCCTTCTTGATGCTTTATCTATAGAGTTTGGTTATTTATAAAAAAAAATTATTGAACAAAAAAAAAATAAAAAATGCCAGGTGTACAAATTTAATTCTAGCTGGGCCAGCAGTGTGGGATGGTCCTAAATCTAATTTTTTTCTAATCTCTATATTCAGTTATCTGCATATGATATCAGTTTCTTTTTGTATAATATATATTATGTACTATGTATTTGTGGTTGCTCCCCTTTTGGCACTATTAGTTAGCAAACTTTATTTATATAACTTATCCCAAAAAAAAAAAAAAAGTGCTAAAATATGCAAACTATGCATGTAAATTTGACAAGTAGTTCATTTTTCTTCTAGGAAACATGAGCACATACAATTAGAACTTACACAGAAAACTGGAATTGACCTTCTACTGTATATTTCGTCTAAAATGTTGCTGTCTCTTTCAACCCTTACCGTGATGATTCCCGTTCTATCCAAGTGGAGTTGTCATGTTACTTTTGTGAGATTGAAGTTGTTAAGGCTACTATTGCGATTGTGACCTGATAACCCTGTATTTTAAGCTTCTAAAGCCATTCCTTACTGCAGGGGAATTAAACCATCTGATGCAGCATCCAAAATCAAAAAGGCATACCGGAAAGCTGCACTGAGACATCATCCAGACAAGGTCTTTGGATTTCTGCAGTTATTTATTATCACTCTGTCATCCTTGTCATTCTTTTTTATGAGTTTATTTTAATATAGGCTGTTCAGTTCCTGGCAAGAAGTGAGAATGGAGATGATGGACAACTCTGGTAGGAAATAGCTCATGAAGTCCACAAGGATGCTGACAGACTTTTTAAAATGATCGGAGAGGCATATGCTATACTTCTAGATCCAACCAAGGTATGCTATTAGCAAGATATGTTTAAATTGATGAGGTTTTCTGTGAGATGTGGGTCGGGAACCTCTAGTTGTTTTAGCATATTGTGTTTTTAAACTGATGAGCTTATTGCGTTTTTTCATAATAATGTGTAGTGATCTTGATCTACATGTTTTGGTCTTTCATTCTATTGAATTGTCTTAAATACATAAATTTATATAAACTACAATTCAAACTGAAATAATTGGATTATTATCCTCTCCATTCGTGTCCTTTCAATCTTGTGAATCTCACACAGTTTCAAACGGAAATAACTGGATCATTAATGTCCTCTCCATTTGTTTCCTTTCAATCTCATGAATCTCACACATCATCAGATATAACATACATGAGGTATAAACGCTAATCTGACTACTCAAAGCTTTAATACGTCCATGCTATATACTTGACTCATGAATAATAGATGGGATCTGGGGATAAATGTTTCCTGGTAAACATTCTTATGGTAGAAAGAATGGTCATAACTCAATGATTTTGTAGATTGGACAACCTAATGTTGATTTCTTGACAGATTGTGTGGAATACCAAAGAAATTCTTCAAATCAGAAGGATAAAAATAAGGGATAATTTTTGCCTTTTGATCTGTTTTCTGATACTTGTCTTGTAGTGGGCATTACTGTCTCGTTAAAAGACCGGCTAATGCACTATCTAAAAACTTCTAGCTGCAGTACAAAAACTATTTCTGCTAGGACTAAAAGGCTGTGTTTTCTTTAGCTTGGTTCAAATTACATTCTTGAGTTTGAGGCTTATCTGCAATTTGTACCTAGTAACAAAAGATTGTCATGATCATTGTACTGAGTGTAATAAAAGTAGTTATGATACTATCTCTTGATTTGTTTATGTTCTATATGAGTTGCTGAATATTAATTATCATTTTCAATTTTCAGCAATCACAGTATGATCTTCATGAGGAATTGAGGAATGCCCAAAAGGAGAGCAATGGAAGTAGAGCTTCTAGAGGACCTTCTGATGATTACAGCTCTCCATTTGATGGCAGTGCGAACAGGCAATATTGGAAGCAGTCTTGGAAGACATGGGAACTCGCGTTCTCAATTTCGATAAGCTGTAGAAAAGGTAAAGTCATACTTACATCTGGAAGCTAGCTAGTTGAAATCAAGAAAAATCAGATTAACCGACATACATTACAAGTTCCATGGAGTATTGGTGGGAGGGGGTTGGTGGCTGGTTACTGGTCTGGGAAGACATTGATGACCCACGATTATTCTAATGAGAAGTGAAGTGAAGTGGTGGCCATGCTCTTGTTTTTTCTGAGGATACCTTTATGAAGAAATTTCAAGAGAGGGACAGAGGGAGGGAAGATATTTTTATGTTTTTTGGTTCCAACTTCAATGGTGAATTTCTACATATGCCAACCCCAAAAAAGATTTATTTTGTGAAAGTGGGTTGGCAAAGGGATGTTTATACAAAGTTGTGTTATTACATTTTTGTTTTTGGTCGGAATATTTTTTAGTTAATAGATTCTTCAAATTGGTTATTAAGTGAGGGCCATTTGCATGTAGTAGTCCTGCAGCAGTTTGATACTGAGGGAAAGATGTTAATATGTTTTGAATGTGCTAGTATTAGATATATTGTATGAGTAATGAAAGGAATGAATTCATTTTGTAGAGATTTTCTATTAATGAGCCTTCTTGTTAATTGGAAACTTTGTTTTTGGTGCTACTAAAAATGGGTTTTCTACAGATAGAGTTTTGATAATAATTTGAATTTATTAGCTTTCTTACTAATTAATTCCAGGATATACTATTAAGGTTTTGACAGAGCTCCAAAAGTTGTAATATTTGGGTTCATCTGGGAGGGACATAGTTCGGTTTTTTTGGTGAACAGATCTTGAGTACTACCATCCTCTGTCTCGTAATTTTCCTGACATCAACGAATCGAAATTTTTTACTTCTGGTACACGTCTAGAACTGGTGGGAGTATTTATTTGGTTGTCTTAGAGCAACGCTCCACAACATTTGGGTTGTGACGCTTGTTTTGTTATTTCTAAAAATATCAGCATAAAAATGATAGGTTCTTGTAGGTTTTTGACAGAAATAAAGTGTAAAAGCTAGCAAAAACAAACTTAATTTTGAGACTACTTTTTCTTAATTTTTATTGATCATTAAAGTACTTATTTATACAACTTATAAAAACAGAAAAAGCAAAAAGAATGCAGCTAAATCTGCTGCAGTTACATAATAGAAACTTTCAGAAAAATAGCAGAAGAATAGGTCAAGCCTAACAGACTTTGACAACTTTAATTCAGCACTTGCTTTAGGACGAATTATACTAACCGTTCCTATAATTTGGGACTCATATTATTTTGATTCCTGACTTTTCAATTGTGACACATTTGACCATGAATTTTGAATCTTGTTCCAAATAAGGACAATTGAATATACTATTGATTAATTTCAAGGGCAAAGTCGTCAATTTGATAAAATATAAATTAATTTGACAAAAATAAATGTCAAAAAGATATTTTTAAATTTTTAAAAATTGTTTCTACTCACCAAAGATAAAATTATGTAAAATTAATAAATCTTTTACACCTTAATTTATTTATTTATTTTACCAAATTAATTTTTATTATATATTTAGATGATAATCATGTAATGAGTGATTGTTTTTATTTTCATTAAATTAGTTTTTATTTTTCTATAAGTCAAATATGGCGACAATTTTGATATCATTATTAAACCAATTCATTAAGTCTTCGTTTGGCATTGGCTATTTTAGCTCACTTTTTTGTGTTGGGGCTTTTTTAGCCTCGTTTGATTTGGCTTTTTTGACCCTTTTGACTTTTGTAAGGAAAAAAGTGAAATGATTATGAGTTGGATGTGATAATTTGTCTTATTAGCTTATGTGGCCAATTTTATCTTTTTGTGCTTTTTTAGTTAAAAATCTAAAAAAAATCCAAAACTAAAAACATTTCATATATTAAATACATAGATTACACATTAAAAACCTAATAACCACCCATTACATAAATTATCATCCAAACATATAATAAAAATTAATATGATAAAATAAATAAATTAATTAATGTGTAAAAGATTAATCAATTTTACATAATTTTATCTTTGGTTGGTAGAAATAATTTTTAAAAATTCAAAAATATTTTTTTGACATTTATTTTTGTCAAATTCGTTTATATTTTTTCAAATTGACGATTTTGCCCTTGAAATTGGCCAATGGTATTTTTAATTGTCTTTATTTGAAACAAGATTCAAAATTTAGGATCAAATGTGTCACAATTAAAAAATCAGGGACCAAAGTGACACATCTCTCAAACTATAGGGACAGTTAGTGTAATTCGCCCTCTGTTTTATTACATCTCAAACTTCAACAGCTCTGGGGGCATCATTCTACAGTTCTACTAGTTAAATCAATAGTTATCAAGTTGAGTTGCCAAGGATGACCATATAATTAAGATTGCCCCTGTCCCCACTCTATTTTCTCCATTCATATTATTAAAGTCTTTGCGAGAAAATGTTTTAATTTCTCACATTCCTGTGGACCCATATGATGTTGATTGAAGTCTTTGGAAGAAAATGTTCAAGTGGGGAGGGTAATTATACAGTAAATGTCAGAATATTATGTTACGATGTTTATGTAGTGGTTCTAATTAATTACGCAATAGTGTAGAAAATATTATGTGCAGAACAACCCTAATATATTTTTATTAGGTAATTAAAAAATAGTGGATGACTTGTCTAGTGTGTTTTGCAATTCTACGTTTGTCAGGAGTAATAACGCACAGAAAAAATACCCTAACAATTCTTCACTTGTCTAGTGTGATTCCCTAACAATTTCGTGGAAATACCCTAGTAATTACATATTTCTTGTTCTCAGAAGAAAAAAAACCAGCCATTGAATGGGCACCTTCAATAAATGAGTCAAGCTGACTGAGTTCTTCCATAACTATTTGCTTGTTCTTATTTGTTCTTCTTGATCAATAACATGGTTGGAACAATTCTTTACCACTTAGCAAGTGGCAGGTGTTCGATGGAAAACCAACCGATGAATGGCTTGTATCTAAAAGGGAGGAGGAAGGTGTTGGATTCAACCCATTGTAAGCTCCCCCACTATGGATAATGGCTCTCCCACTCCACCTACCCCACTAGCTAGTGGATGAAGCTAGAGGAAGGGGTAGGCGGTGACCAATCAATGAGGCACTCGTTTGTGTATCAATAGAGGAAGAGAGAGCTTAAGCAATGGTGAGCAAACCAAGCAAACCAAAGAGAGTGAGAGACGTGAGGCGGAGAGTCCGTCTCTCTCGGTGTGAGCGAGGGAGACGGGAGAGTGGCTGAGTGAGAAGAGTGTGAGCTCCTCCTCTATTGTAATCTTTCTGTAATCTCTCCATTGTTATAGTGATAACCGGTTATTCTTCCGTGGACGTAGGCATGGAGGCTGAACCACGTTAAATATGGTGTCTCCTTGAATGTGAGTGTGTTTTATGCTTGGTATGATTTTTATAAGGTCTTAGGCAGGATGTCCGATCCCAACAAAAAGAGCTGTTATCTCCATCAGAATCCCTTGAACTTAGCTGCATTTAGGATTCTGCTATTAATGTTGTTTTGTTGGGTATGTTATGATATGTAATGTAATGTTCTTTTCTTGTTGAATACTTACCTAAACATTGTGTTTCTCATTATTTTTGTTAGAGCTACTGCTTTTAACTGCATGTTCCTAATGACTCTGGATTCTGTCATTTTTTTAAGGCGTCCACCATAAATTTGTCCAATTTTATTTATTTTTTATTTTTTATGTATATATGTAAATATCATTTTAGTAATTGAAAAAAATAAATTAAATGAAAGATAAAAGACATGTGGACCGTTTACCCAAAACGCGTTGGACCACTGAATTTGAAATTGAAATTGAAATATCCTTCTATGTATAAAGATAAATAGTAATCTGAAATTGAAATGACCCACCCTCAACTATCTCTTAATCTTTCTTCTTCTCCTTCTTCATCTTGTTGTTCTTGATCAAGAACATTCATGGCAGAAACAATTATTCTCAACATAGCAAGTAAAGTTCTGGGGAGCTTAGGCTCACTTGCTATCAATGAAGTTGGATTGGGATGGGGTCTTGATGAGGAGCTCAAAACACTGGAGGGCACCTTGTCCACCATCAAAGAGGCTCTTTCATATGCTGAGGAGAAGCAGGGGAAAAACCATGTGGTGAAAATATGGTATGAGAGACTCCAAGCTACTTTCTATGAAGCAGATAACCTGCTTGACGAATTCCAATACGAAGCTTTGCGACGTCAAGTACAGTCAATGAAATCAAATCATCATCATCATCATCATAGCAGGAGCAGGAGCAGCATTCGAATACAGAAGCTGGTAGGTAAATTCTTTTCATGTTGTTCACACTCGAATGATTTCCGATTCAAATTTGAAATGGGTAATAGAATTGGAAAGATCAAAAAGAGATTAGACATGATTGGGGAAGATAGAAATAGATTTTATCCCATCGGCACAACAACAGAAAGTAAACAGACTCATCATAATAGCGCAGGCAGCACATCAGTCTCCTCCGACGTAAATGAGTCGGAATTTTTTGGAAGGGCAAATGATAGACTAAGGATATTACTACTATTAATGACCCCACATGCTGATTATGATTACATATCTGTCATCCCCATTGTTGGCATTGCAGGGGTTGGCAAGACCGCTTTCGTTAAAATCATGTACAATGATGAAAGGGTAGTCGAGCATTTTGGGATGAGGATTTGGGTGAAAGTAGCACAAGATTTTAATGTTAAACGCGTGGTGCAAAAAATTATTCAATGCATCACTGATTCTCCTTCTGTTGACTTCAGTCCAAAACAGACCAAGGCAATCCTTGCAGAAAAATTACAGGGTAGGAGATTTCTACTCGTCTTGGATGATGTTTGTAATTGTGATAACCGAGATTGGGTAAAGTTGTTAAATTTTTTAAGACATGGTAACAAAGGAAGTAAGATAATAGTGACTACACGTTACAAGTCAGTCGCTTCAACCGTGGGCACAGTCCCCATGCACAATTTAACGGGTCTTCCTGACGATGATTGCCGTAAATTGCTGTGGAGTTGGGCATTTCGTAAAAACGATGGGGAACAACATCGAAACTTCTCAGAAATTGGGAAGGAAATTTTGGAAAAGTGCCATGGATATCCTCGTGCAATAAAGACTTTAGGCAACTTACTGTTTATGAAGAACGATGAAAATGAATGGTTGTATTTAAAAGGCAAAGAACTATGGGAATTGGAGCAGAACAACAAACACGACATTTTGCCCATGTTACGATTGAAGTACAACCCGTTACCTACTGACTTGAAACGTTGTTTCGTATATTGTTCGATTTTTCCAAAAAACTATGAAATCGAAATTGATAAATTGATTCAGTTGTGGATGGCGCAGGGGCTCATTCAATCATCTGGTTTAAATCATAAATTGGAAGATATTGGAGCTGATTATTTGAATCAATTATGTTCCATATTTTTCTTTGAAAAGATTGAACAACATGGCAATTTATCAAACACGTGTAGAATGCCTGAGATCATTCATGATCTTGCAGTATATATGGCGAATGAAGAGTCCATAAGTACAAATTATCGTTTTGGACGAATTTCTAAGTCGGTTAGCCATGTACCATTTCATGATTCCGATTGTTCAGGGGAAAAAGAGCTCACAAAGTCATTGTTTGAACTAGAGAAAATGCGGACTGTTCTCTTTCCATTTCATGCAGTGGGAGCCAGTGACGAAGGCTTTGTTGATGAATTCATCTCAAGGTTCAAGTATCTGCGCGTGTTTGATTTGAGTAACTCATCTTTTCGAAAGTTGTCTCATTCTATTGGGAATTTGAAGCATTTGAGATTTTTAGACTTCAGTGGGAATGCAAATATTGAGACTCTCCCTAATGCCATTTGCAAACTGTACAATTTGCAAACTTTGAGAATCGAGTACTGTGTGAAAATTCGAGAGTTGCCTAAGAACATAGGAAACTTGATCAGTCTCAGGAATTTGAACTTAACCACACAACAGAGTTGTTTGCCAGATAGACAGATTCGACGCTTGACCTCCCTTCAATCCTTTCGAATTATAGGATGTGGAAACCTAACATCTTTGCCTGAAGGGATGCAACATCTCACTGCGCTCACAACAGTGACCATCGCAGCGTGTCCCAAATTGGCCTCTCTACCAAGTACCATGAAGAACCTAGCCAACTTGAGGAATCTTGAGATTAGTAATTGTCCGAATCTTAACCTGGCAGGGTGGGAGGAGTTTAGAGGCCTTAGGATGCTTCAATAAATTGAAGGCTACAAGATTATATGAGTTTGTGGCTGTCCCAAGTGAGTCAATTTCTTTGAACTTAAAAGTATTGCTCATATTTTTATTCTTTCTAGCATTAACTGCTGCTTCTGATGGGCTTCTTGACATTGTCTTAGTGCATGTACTGGAAATTTCATATCAGTAAGAGAACCAACCGATGAAGCATGAAGTGACAGGTGTTCTATGGAAAACCAACCGATGAATGGATTGTATCTGAAAGGGAGGAGGAAGGAGTTGTTATCTCCATCAGAAGCACTTGACCTTAGCTGCCTCCAGGATTCTTCTATTAATGTTGTTTTGTTGGGTGTGAACTTAGCTGCATTTAGGATTCTGCTACTAATGTTGTTTTGTTGGGTATGTTGTCTATGTAGTGTTCTTGTGAAATACTTTTCTAAACATTGTGTTTCTCATTATTGTTGTTATAGAACTACTGCTTTTTAGTAAAAGTTCCTAATGGCTCTGAATTGTCCGTCTCTGCCTCCATAGATTGACTAACATTACACTAATTAGCCTACAGTAATTAATATTGGACCTGGCTTTGAAATGTAGTTAACAGTAAATTCTGCCACGTTAAGCCCTCCAAATTTTACTGTATTTCTGTCACTCCAAATATCCCAAAAACCACAACAAACAGGTCTTCTATGTGCACAAAATCCGATCACAGAATCAGATAACTCTCTTATATAGAGTGGAATCCACACATTTAATGGGTCGGAGTCAAACACCGATCCTCTATTCTTTAGATAGTCTCCCAATCTTGAAATCAACATAATTTCCAAACCTCAAGAGGCAAAATATCAATCCAGCAAGCAATGTATATCAGACACAGGAGCTCCATTACATTATTACATACCTCGCAAACACTGCCTAACCTTTGAGAAGGTAAAAAAGCTTCAAAACACAGAACTTTGAGAAAATTTAATTTATTATTTTTAATTAATATAATTTTAGATATATGAAATTCATTACCTTAAGAGATCCTGAGGGCATAACAAAATATTGGGTTAGGACAAATTTCACTTTATACCAAATCTTACTTTTCCCACTAACTTCGTAATTATCTCAATCAAATCTTTAGATTTTAAGTCAAGTTGCAATTGGACTCGATACAGTTTTAAAAATTGAGGCAGAGACTAAATTGGGATTTTGATAAAAGTACGGATTGCAAAGGATTAAATTGGAGGGATTAAAGTGGAATTTTGGTTAATGTGTAGTGGTGCTAAGTGTAATTAATAGTATGATGAAGTACATATTCTTGGTTTTTTTGAAATGGTGTTATACTAATAGACCCAATTACAACTTATCTCAATGTCTAGGGGATTAACTAAAACAATTAAAAAATTAGGAGGCAAACTAAGATGGAAGTATAGTGCAAGAGTGCAAAATGAAATTTATCATATTGGGTAATTTATTGTTTAAGGTATTCTCGTTAAGTTTTGGTATGCATTTATGACACTCTTAAGTAAATCTATCAACCCCATAAAATAAATATATATACGTATATATATAAACTAAAATTTGAAGGCTAATAAGATCATGTATTTTGTCACTTATTTTAAAGCCAATCTAATAAAAATATCTAACAGGTTTTTGTGTGTGTGTGTGTGTGAATTGGAAAACTAGAATTGAGTTGAAATCAAACAGTTTTATCAATAATTTCATACCATTGAAATTAGTTTCATGAAATTTAATTTGCAAGAAATAATTTTAAATTTAATATGCACAAGTATTTTTAACTAAGAATAATTTTTTTTAATGATGCATTAACATGACACAAACAAAATATGAACTGAAAATAGCATGACACAATAACATAAAAAACACACAAATTAAGTTAAAGTTAATATAATTTGAACATGACACGTATTCGATCGACACAACAAGACGGACACCCTACTAAATGGGACCATTTTGGGCTGGTGCCTAGGCGAAGCCGCTACTGCTTGGCATATGGGATCTTGACAACTAAACTAAAAATGAACAATATATCATTGAACTGAATATTTCTATGTTTGGAAATATCCTTGTAATTCCCATTCAATGTCACCTTCTATAAATAAAGAAATATAAATATAAAAAACTCTATTCATACATAAAATTTATGCTAAAAACTTCACAAAATAAACTCATTTTTTGAGTATTTTGTTGAAAAAGAAAGACTCATAATGAGCCACATCATTCATTCTGTACAGAACTTCTAGATCAGTTTTTTGTTTACTCTATAAATATTCATCAAGATTGAAAACAGTCTAGGATGCTGAGTGAGTGAGTTCTCAGCTATAAGAATAACTATTTGCTTATAATCTTATATTTGATCTTCTTGATCATCAAGAACATTCATGGCAGAAGCAATTCTATTCAACTTAGCAAGTAAAGTTGTGGATAAGATAGGTTCTCCTGCTCTAAGGGAAGTTGGCTTGGCATGGAGTTTTGAAGATGAGTTGAAAACACTCGAGGCCAGAGTGTCGATGATCAAGGCGGTGCTCATAGATGCTGATCAGAAGCAGCAGCAGCAGCAGCAAGGGAACAACAACCTTGTCATAAGCCTATGGCTAGAAAAACTCGAAGCTTCTTTCTATGAAGCTGACAACGTGCTTGATGAATTCCACTACGAAGCTTTGCGATGCAAAGTACAGTTAATGAGGATAATGAATCATAGAAACATTGGAATACAGAAACTGGTACGCATATTCTATTCATGTTCACACACACTTGATTTCCGGTTTAAATTTAAAATGAGTTGTAGAATCGAAAAGATCAGAAAAAAATTAGATATGATCGTAGACGATAGGACTAAATTTCATCCCATAGTCTCAAAGGATCAAAAACAAACTGAAACTGATCCTAAGGCAGCCAGCACGTCACTCTCCTCCAATGCAAATGAGTCGGAATTCGTTGGAAGGGACAACGATATAGAAAGGTCGTTACAACTTATAATGTCCCCTAGTGTTGACCACAAGAACATATCTGTCATCCCCATTGTTGGGATCGGAGGCGTTGGCAAGACCACTCTGGTTAAATTGTTGTTCAATCACGAAACCCTAGTCAGGCATTTCGACTTGAGGATTTGGGTGACAGTAGCACAAGATCTTAACGTTAAACGTGTGATGCAAAAAATTATTCAACGCATAACTGATTCTAATTCGCCTTGCACTGGCCTCAATTCGAGTAAGATAAAGAAGCTCCTCAAAGAAAAATTGCATAATAAGAATTTTTTGCTCGTCTTGGATGATGTATGTGATAGTGATAACCGAGATTGGCTTAAGTTCTGTAACCTTTGAGAGGTGGCGGTGCCAAGGGAAGTAAGATCGTAGTGACTACACGAAGCAAATGGGTTGCTACAACTATTGGCACAGTTCCTATATACAATTTAGAGAGTCTTTCCGATGAAGATTGCCATGAATTGCTTTTGAAATGGGCGGGTTGTCATGAAAACTTGGGGGAAGAACATGATGGGATTGCGAAGCTCTCAGAAATTGCAAAGGAAATCGTGAAAAAATGCCACGGATGTCCTCTTGCACCGAAGACTTTAGGTAACAATCTGTTTATGGAGACCGATGAAAGTAAATGGTTGGATTTAAAAGAGAAAGAACTATGGGAATTGGCGCAAAAGAAACACGACATTTTGGGCGTGTTAAGATCGAGCTACAACTCACTACCGACTGACTTGAAACGCTGCTTCATATATTGTTCAATCTTCCCAAAAAGCTATAAAATTGAGATCGATAAATTGATCCAGTTGTGGATGGCTCAGGGGATCTGTCACACCCCAAATCCGGGCATGACCGGCCGTGGCCCACAGGGACTTAGCCCAAGGCACACGTAAGCCTAAACACGAATCCAATCACATTGAATAACTGAACAATAGTCCAATAATAAATAACCAAAACTCAATCCAGACATGTCACAATTATAAACGGCAAAATCAACCGTAATCAAAAACCATCCAAACTTATGGGATATAAACAACCCACATAACAAAAATAATCCTAAATGAACTTCGATAAAAATAAATATAAATATGCACAAACTTGACATAACACTCTAAACTAAAGGAATGCCCTAGAGGTCCATGCAATTGAGTCCCCGCTACGCCATGAGTCCACTCTAAGTCCTTCTAACACCTGGAAATGATAAAAACTAAGTCAGCTGATAGGTTGGCCCCCCTCAAGGAGGCCCTCCCTTTGATCCCCTCTCTCTCTGATTGGCCAGTTTTTTTTTTTTTTTTTTTTTTCCTTCTCTTCCAAACACTATCTGCCACGTGTGTGTGTATAGGTGGTGGGGGTGATGATTGGAGGAGATCTCAATCACTTTCCTAGTGCTCTCACTCATTTTCCTTAAGGAAAATAAGATATAAAGGTCAACTTTTTAGTTCCAATGATTATAAATAAATTGATTGGTGAATGATTAAAGTACAAATGTAAGTACAAATGTGACATAGAAATGACTTAAATATTTTAATAGAATGTTATATTACTGAGTTTAAAAAATAGATTTAATTTTTTAGTATGAATAGTAATACTCATTGGTTAATACTTTGTCACAATGTTTTAAAAATCGGACCGGTGAGTGAACTGGAAAAATAATCGGGTGGACGGGTCACCGGCTCAACCGTCGGGTTGAACCGGAATCGAACTATGACGTCATAAATATATTAAAATTATATTTAAATAAAAATATAAGTAATAAAATTAAAAATTAAAAATCTTAATAATCTCAAATATTTCTCTTAATACTTTT